TCTCAGGAGACAGGAGTACCAGATGCTTCCAACTCCCTGAGTGCTTGGGGAAGGAGGCAGGCTAGCAGGGTTGGGGGCCACAGGGCACTGATCACACAGGCCACTTACCCTGAGGCCGAACACCTCAGGGGGCAAAGGAGTGAAGGAAAACCAAGAGGATTGGAGAAGAGGACAAAGAAAGGAGAAAGTCAGATTTCAAGAAGACCCTTTCATTTCTCACTCTCTCATGTCCCAGGCCTGCTCTGTCTGTCTCCTGGGACTGACATTGCAAAGGGCACACATCCCAGAGGAGTCTAATTTGACATCTTTCTCCCTCCTTGCTCTCTACCCCTCTTAATTGCTTTGGAAAGAAACCAAGAAAAGAGAAACTAGAAGGAAGAAAAACATTCAGTTTGATTTTCTTGGATAAGAACTTAGATAAGGAAACCCAATGGTGTTTATTGAATAAATAAATGAATTAATCATTAGCCTATCAGCCACTATATCAAAGAACCAATAAATGACACAGGAAATGAATTAGGGAACCAATGAATCTGGCATAAAGTCTCAGATTTCTTAACCTCCTGCTCCTGAACATGGACCTCTCTATCTCTGTCTATTGACAAGGGTGATATATAAAAAACCAAAACAAACAAAAGAAACAAACTCATAGACTTATCACCAGCAAAGGCCTGTACTAGCCAAGTCCTATATCCATCTATGTCCTTATAAAAATGCTGGAAAGATCCCTATGGCTCATGCTAGCCATGGAAACAACACTTGCAAAGGGAGGAGAGGAAATGATTTTTCAATACACTGAGTTCACACCAGACATTGCAGACTTGTAGCCTAACTCAGCTATAGGACGAGGATAAATTTTAGGGTGCACCAAGTTTCAGAAGTCCCTTCAACTGTGTTTTGCTCCTTGGCTTGTTCCAGCTACAACTGTCCTTACTACGACTTACCAATGGGATGGGTATGCCCTGGGGACAGATCTAGATCTTGGCATTTCCCAGTATCTCCAATTGCTTAGCTCCATGGTGGGAACATGGTGTCCATCGGATGCCTCTTGAATGGAATTCAAAGTCTTAAGTTCTGGAGTTCCAGCTTTTCTCCCAAAGACTGTTTTATTAGGTTACAGCAGATGCCAATCAATGGCCATTTGTTGGTTAAGGCCAAATACCCTGAAGTCATCCTTGACTTCACCCTAGGATATAATTCATGAATTGTCCTGGCACTATTGAAGAGCCAGCCTAACAGCCACAACAACTAGCCAATTAGCTCTTCCTAACAACGTGAGGTAGCTGAGAGCTGGGACACATACAATCCCATTAGGAGAGTGTGTTCTGCATTGGGATCTGAGAGCAGTAACCTCATCAGGAGCATGGAAGAAATATTTGTCTCTGAGAGCATAATTTATGTTCAATAAATTAAGAAGGCTGCCTGAAGGTCAAGTATGGAGAAGGAAATCAAAATAAATTCTCCAGCCTGTAGAAAATGAGCCAGGGGTCCTGCACAGCCCAGTGTAGATCATTCTGTGGACTTTTTGGGCAGAATATAGGGGACCTGCTTCAAGACTCCACCTCCACCTAATGGCAGAGAGAAAGGTTGAAGGAGTGAGCGAGAGAGAAAGAGGACACAGACCATATGGGAGTGATATTTGGAATACCCCAACTCCTTTTCCTTTTTTTAAAATATTTATTTATGCATACAAGAACTGGGAGTACAGGCCAGAGGTGCAGGGGGTGAGAGGATTCACCAGAGACAGAGAGGGGAGCTGAACAGGCAGACTGACTGAAATACACTGCCAAGGGGAGCAGCGGGTGAGACAGGAGAGGTCTGCTGTGCCATGTGGGTTGCTCCCTGGCTGGCCAGGGATTGAACTCGTGCTGCAGAGGCTGTGGATAGCTTCACAGTGCTGTGCTTAACCCCTTGTGCCACCAGGGAGGCCCCTCCTTTTCCTTTTCTAGAAGGAGAAATAGCCTCCTTCACTGACATTAGGCCATCTGGGAGATGAAGAAGTTTGGCCAGAACACCAGAGAATCCCAGAGTGTTAGGGAAGGACCTCTGAACGATCATCTCCCTCAAACCGTCCCATCTGCCTGCAGGTGAGAAGTCTCAGGCTCAGAGCGGTGCATGGGTCCCTCTACCTGCAATCGCCTCCTCTTCTCTAGACTCTGTACATCCATCTCCACCCAGAGGAGTAGTCAGATGTTCCAGAAAGCAAAACATATCTCACATCATTTACTTGTTTCTTTTTTTTCCTACTGCTTTTTCCTACTACAGTCCAGGATTTTGACAACACAGTCTCAAGCACTGACAAGTTTGAAAACTTGCAGAATGAGGAGGAGGGGATGGAGAGGGCTTGTGAAATAAGGGGTTGGGTTCCTCCCACTTGGAAAGCTCAGAGGACAATAAACCTGGTGCCAGGATCCCGAATGTCAGTCACCACAGAGCTCTTGGAGAACCTGTAAAAGATACAGATAACCTGGCCCCACCTGGAAAACTGTTACACCATATTTCTGATGGTATCAGATACTCTCATCAGCTCCTTAGGCCATCCCGGTGCTTTGGTATTTGAAGGTCCTGTCCTAGACTAGAGGGCCCGAGTGAAACCAGGAGTTTAACTTCTAACCAGGTACGTGGAGCTATAGGAGGGGGCCTCTAGGGAGCTGGTTTCTTTCACCCATCCATAAAATGGAAAGGAATTCACACTCCCTGTTTCCGACCTCCTAGGGAGTCAGTGTTGAAAAACAAGGTCAGTGGGTCTGAGAAGACTGGGCCTTTCTATCTACCTGCCCTATTCTTGACTCTGATTTTAATTCTTACCAGTTCTCATGCAGTCCTTCAGGGGAGCTGACCTGAAGCAGTGCCAGGCAGGCCCAAAAGTAGGCAGCCCACTACCCACCTTTTGCCAGTCCATCAGGGACATGTACCTCAGCAGCTGACCCTGATTTTGGACTAAACTTTGAGTTAAGGCCACGGGGGAAGTAATTAAAGATAATTGAGGCTGCAGCTTCCAAATGAAGACATACTGCCACCCAGGCGGTAATTAATCACCTCCTCCGCCCTCCCCGCCGCTCCCCCTCCACCACTAGCATTTGGTTCAGACCAAGATGGGCCTTTCTAGCCACATGCACAGGCAGTCATCCAATTCCCTCCAAAACCTTCATGGCTGACATGCCTTAATCACCAGCACGGCTCATCCACAGTGTTCCCCACTTAACATTCCTCGTTGCTCCCACTTAACATTTTTCTGGTGTATTGAAAGCAGCAGAAACCCCACCCATAACTCCCCAAGTTTATTATGGAACATTCCAGAAAATATAAAGAGCAACGTTCGCCAGTTGATAAATGTCAACCATCTAGGTTTTCTGTACAAGATCAGGATTTTAGGTGCCCCACACTATTCTAAGCTGATAACATAGATAACCCATCTGGTCACGGCTGCCTTCCCACCCAGGGTGGGCAAGGGATTAGAGCTGTTTTAACACTGGGAGACTCGGAGCTTATAAAGAGTCCTGTGCTCTGAGCAGGGGGATGGTTGCATGAGTCCACTGAGCTCCAGCAGCAGGCTCTGGGTGGCGTCTAATTACAGGGAGGCTGATGGCCTCGGTGGAAGACACGGTCACAGGACCCAGGTCTTGGCCTGCCAATGTCCCACCAGCAGTGGCACTAAAATGGAAATTAAGCACAGTGCCATGGCCATTTAGGGCATTAGGAACGGAAGGCGCCTGGGAGCCGCTTCCTGGCCCTTTGCCCACCTTATTAACGAGGTGCAAACAAGGACCTGTGTGGGAGAGGGAAACAGCTGGAGAAAAGAGACCTTCTCTGCAGGTAGAGATATGAAGAGAGGAAGGGGGGGCAGGGAGGCCGTGTCCCAAATCACCTTGGCTGAGAAGGAAATTGGCTTGATAAATGAGGAGAAATCATCCACCTCTTGGTGAAGCTCTTCAAGGACCTCGTTCCAGGTTGCAAAGGTTCCCCAGTTCCTGAATTCCCACTCCGTACCCATACCCTGACCACACACACAATGGGGGGCTGGGGTAAGGCATGGGGCCAAATCAGCAGTCTCTACCCCCCACCTCAGGTCATTTGTAACTTGCGTGAGGCTGACTGGGTGCAGACAAGGCTCCCCAGCCTGCCGAGCTCTCCAGCTCTGATCTGAGCAAGTCGGTGCCTTGGCCACGATCCAGGCCTGGGCACCAGGGCTGTTTGCTGGGAGATGGGCTGAGAGCTCAATGGTTTGCTGTTCATGTGCCCCCCCTCCCCTCCTGCATCCTGATGGCCTCCCCTGCATCATGTGCCCCCCCTCCCCACCTGCATCCTGGTGGCCTCCCACCTTGACCTTCTGACAGCTGTCCTGACTTAGCAACTGATAAAACTCATCTTGGAAAACAGAAAGTCAAATTTGGTCAATGCAATGCAGCAAAGAGAATGGAACACTAAGGTTCCCCTTTGCCTCTGAGGCACCCCGTTCCCCTGAAGCAGACACGCTTTGGGGCTGCTTTCTAACCCAATCAGGCCCGCGTCAGGAGGACCCAGGAATCTCACCATCCGCTCAGTGCCCTGCTTTCTTATTTCTCTGCCAACAGCTGTCGCAGAGGTGAACTGGGACATGGGAAACACCAGCTCCCTTTGGAAAGGGGAAAAAATTAAAAAGCCCGTTTTTCTGTCCTGTCAGGTCTATTTAAGTATTTAATGAGGTGAGATAGTACCAATAAATTTAACATGGCACAATAACTCTGATGATGTGGGCCACAGACTAATAAGCTTCCATCCCAGCGACAGGAGAGCGATCTTGCCCGCGTTAGATCTTATCGGGTTTGATTGCTTTGTTCAGATATTAAAAAGGTTGAGCAAGGACTTTCGGGCACTGCCACAAATCTGCGCGTATCCTCCTGGCCAAGATAGATTGAAACCAGGCTGTGGAATACAAGGCTGTTTATTTTAATTGACAATTGAGAGGACTGGAATAGCTGGAGGGGGGAGGGGTGTGGGAGCCACAGGGGGCTCTGTGATTAGGTGGCCAGATTGTATGTGTGTGTTTCGCCTCCTCCAAGCCTGTAACAAACCTGCAAATCTGGGGGTCTGCACGGTTGAGTGTCTGCTCCTATGGCTTCACAGAGTCTCTTCCCCACTTGTCTTGCAAGGAGACAGGCTGTTGACCCACGTGTCGCCAGCGATGTCCGCCCTTGCCATCCCCGGGCCAGGCCTGCTGCAGACAGTTCCTGGTCACTGTGTCCAGTCTGGGCTGCTGCTCCCATAGGTACAGAGGTTGTCCTTCCTCCTGCTATTTATGGGGAATGGTTAACGCTCTTGCAGGTCAGAGGCCAGATTCTAATTCCCCCCAGAATGTGGCAAATATCCAAACTTCTAGCATGTGCCATGCATACTTTGGGGGTAGGTGCTGTAATTCACACTTGGCATATGGGCGAACATTTTTACCTTAACATTTAGATCTTTCTATTAATGTTCCTATGTGTAGTATAAAAAGATAACTAATACATCACATAGAATTTCACACATATTATTCAATGAGACGTAACTTTTAAAAGTGAGCCAAGTTCAGGTAAATTATCAAATATATAATGCTGCAGGGAATAACCAAGTGAGTGAAATTTGGGAAACACTGTATTAGCTGATTTACTAATTGATTGGGTAGATGGTTGGTGGTTGACTTTGTGACTGGCAATTTCTCCCCCTAACATGTTATTATGAAATTTTTCAACATAGCAGAAAAGTTGAAAATAAACCTGTAGTGAACTTCCACAATTAACATTTTGCTACATTTATTTATGGCATACCCCTACCTGGCCATTGCCAGCAGCTGCCATCCATCTAGCTTATGTTCTTGGATGCATTTTAAAGCAGACGGTGGACATCGGTGCACTTCACCCTTGAATATTCCAGCAAGAACATCACTAGGGTTCAATGTTATGGACTTTTTTTGGAAGCATAATTTAAATAGCTTGAAATGAACAAATCTCAAGTGTATTAGTCAATGAGTTTCGATAAATACATACACCTGTATAACTCAAAACACTACCAACATGCAGAATGTGATCATCACCCCAGAAAGTCTCCTCATGCCCCTCCAAATGAAGTCCCCCAATCACCCTCTAGAGACAACCACCGTTGTTACTTTTCCCACTACTTGTCTGGTCTTTAGAGAAATTCCTATACTGCGGAGTGTTTTGAGATTCTTCTGTGTTGATTCATGCGTTAGTGGCTTTTTCCTTTTTGTTGCCGCGTGGTGTGGTGTCGTTCCTCTGTGTGTTTCCATCCTCGTGACACCTGGACTCTTTCCAGTTTGGGTACTCTACTCAAATGCTATGAACCTTCTATAAATCTCTTTGTAGATACATGTTTTTATTTCTCTTGGATAAATGACAAGGGGTTGAATTGCTAAATCATTGGCTATGTATATAATTAGTTTTAGAAAAAAACTATCAGATCCTTTTTCAAAGTGGTTGTGCACAGCCACCAACAAATGCAAATTACAATCGCTCTTCATCTCTACGACCATTTTATGTTGTCGATGTGTAAATTTTAGCCATTCTGCTAAGGATATGACCCAACTTCTCACTGTTTTACCTTTTTTATCCCCATGTGTCCATTGGCCATTTGAAAACTTTCCTTAACGAAGTGTCTGCTCAAACCTTTGCCCATTTGTTATTTGTTGTGCCTAGATGCCAGTTCTTTGTCAGATAAGTTTTGCAAAATATATTTGCTTCATAGGTGACTTGCTTATTTGTTTTCCTAATAGTGTCGTTGGTGAGCAAAAGCTTTCTATTTTGATAAAAATCTAATTTATATATAATTTTTATCTTATTGCTATTGATTTCAGTGTACTAAGATATTTTTACCTACTCCCAAGCCACAAAGATTTCCTAGGTTTTCCTCTGGAAGTGTTACAGTTTCAGTTATTGTATTAAAGTCTTTAATCCATCTCAAACTAATTTTTGTGTATAGTATGAGGCAGAGGTCAAGGTAAATTTCTTTTTCATATAAATATTCAGTTGTTTCGGTAAAAATTGTTGACTTTCTTTTCCCTCTTGGATAGCTTTTGTACTTTTGTCAAAAATCAAATGGCTGTGTAGCTATAGGTTTGTTTCTGAGTCCTCTGTTCTTCTCCATTGATTGATAGATTTTTAAGAACAAATTCTTGCACTGTCAGTTTGAAGGAAACCTAGAAATTCTTTAATCCATTGACTTATAAAATTTATTAGATTAGAGACCTCTTTAAGAACCTGATGAATATTTTTGACCATCTCTAAAGAAATTCCATGTAGATAAAAGTATTTGCATATGATGGGGAGATGTTCCTCGAACATTGAATCCTATATCTCAACCCTCATTTTTTACAGAAGGGAAAATTTAGGCCCAGAGACGTGATGTTTTTATTAAAGACTACAAAATTTATCTAATTACTGAGTGCAGGCAAGAACTGGGCTTCTATTCTACACTGCCACCCCTCCCCGTCAACAAGTCACAGTCCCTATCCAACTGTTTACATTTAAAGAGGATGACAGACATGGTCACGACTAAACATAGCAGAACTCACTGCAAGAAAGAACCAATAAGAGATATGCACCATGAGAACATGGAGTTCCTAGGTAATCAGGGACAGCTCCATGACAGAGGCGGCATTCGAGCTGGACCAAAGAGATGGGAGAAAGGACACTCAACCCAAGTTATTTCTGAATTGATTTTAAAAACTAAACTCCTGAAAGCTAAAGTGTAGGTATTTGTAGGCATGCAGTCATAGACACTGGTATTTTAATAAAGTATTTTCATGGTAATAACTATACACCTCACAGTCCTTCTGATGGCAGAAGAGTGAATGAGTGGGGGACACTTCCTACTGGTTGGGATAGTTCTTATAGCCTGTCCCTTAAACTATCACTTTCATGAATTGAAAACTCTGTCTTTGTCTGTGTACTTTGAAAAACAGACTGAACCATCCTTAGGGTAAGGAAAGAGGAGGAGAGAAAGGAAAACAGTTGAGCAGGAAGAACTCATAAGTTGGTGCCAGGTCCTAAATCCAAAACCATGTCTAAAATTTACTAATCGCGTGAGCTTGCACAGCCATGTAACCTTTCTGACCTCTCGTTTCCTCACTTGTAAAATAGGACTAATCATAACACCAGCTCCACTGGGTTGCTGTGATTGCTCAGAGAAATAAAATATGTGGAAGCACGTCGCCCTAGGCAGGGACTCTGCAAAGGGAGAGTCGTCGTTATTATAAAGAGTTGACTTGACGTCAGCTCTATGAACCCACACTTCTGGTGCTGGGCAGTGATTTGGGAGGCAGTTGGCATGGCGGGAAGGCACCCAAACTTGTAGCCAATCCCTGGACAACACCTGTCCTGCACAGAGCCAAAGAGTTGGGTGGAAACTTCAACTCTATGCATATCAACAGGCTTCGCTTTTCATGTTTCCCATTCAAAGCTGCTCTTGAAGTTTCCACAACTCTATTGCTGTTGTGTCTTTGGAGGGTATTGGGCAAAGAAGGGGAAAAAACCCACATATTAATCTGGATGGACTAGGTTATGCTAGGTAACAAACCATCTCAAAGTCTTTTTATAATTTTATTTCTTTTTGTTGAAGTAACAGTTTACAACACTGTGTAAGACTTAGAGGTACAGGATCATACCTCTTGAGATGTATTTACTATACCAAACCCACCACCAGAGCACCTATAATCCTCCACCATAGACCATCAGGCCCCCGCCCCACCTCCACCCCTACTTTCTCCTTCTGGTGCCTCAATTCTATGGTCAGATTTCTGGAGTTTGTTTTCGTTTAGTTTTGTCTATTCCTTTATTTTGTTTCTTTTTCCTCCATGTGAGTGAAATCATTTGGTATTCACCTTTCTCCTTTTGACTTATTCCATTTGGCAAAATCCCTTCCAGTCCCATCTATGTTATGGCAAATGGCATGATTTCATCTTTATTTATAGCAGAGTAATAGTCCACTGTGTACATCTACCACTTCTTCTTCACACACTCACCTTCTGAAACAACAACTGACTGGCAGAGTAGAGAAGAAAGTGGGCGACTGGGTTCTGCATCTCCTCACTCCGGCACTAGATAACACAGCAGCCCAGTTGATCTTTGTGACCAAAGGAAAACCTCAGAAGACCTTGCCTCAATAATAAATGCTCTGGGCCAGCAGTGACACATGTGACTTCTTCTCACAACTCATTGTCACTTGGGCACACAGTGGAACTCTACTCTAAGGAGGTCAATCCCACTGTGCGTGGAGAAGGTAGAGAATGGCCTCTTCCTTGGTCCAGTCATGCTGCTTCACATTCGGTGACTCTGTGAGTTGTGTTTCTTCTGTTTGGGGTGCCACTCTTTCCTCCTGGAGAGCACATTTTCATCTTCTAAGACGCTTCAAATGTCTCCCTCTCTTGAAGGCACCCCAGAACTCCTTCCACACTGTATTGTAATGTTGACTGTATATGTGTTGCCCTACTCTACTGAGAACTCTGTTAGAGAACAACGTGAATGTAAATGGATGAATTCTGATCCTCCTTGTCCAAGATGGCCAAATCCTTACCACCCCAAGCTCATAAATGATCCCAGATGCCATGGAAGGAAACAAGTAAGTTTGCCATAGCCTTTTCCACTCTCACCATAATAATTGGCATTGAACAGGTCCTCACTAAGAGCCAGACACAAGAAAGAGTGCTGTTTGTATCACCTAATTCAATCCTCACAACAGCAGCAGACGGCTCATTTTCTCGGAGGTGATATTAAAATTTAGAGAGTGTAGGGTAAGTGATTATCAGGATTTTCTGTCCTCCCGCCATTGGCATTGATGATGGATCCCTGCAGTGCTCTGTGCATGCCTGATGGTGGACACCTGGAGAAGGGTGTGGGCATGCATAGGTGGCCACTCCTGGGCAGAGACGGGCTTTTAAGGGTGGTGTCATGGAGAACCGGTAGAGAAAGAACAGCAGAATGAGAGTAGCAGAATAGAAGAAGGAGAACAAGAAAAAGCAACAGAACAAGAGAAAGCCAGAGAGCCCAGAAGAGTGAGGATTCATGGGGGGCTGGGAAAAGCTCAATAAGAGCCTGAAATAGCCACCAAGGGCTCCAGGACTCTCCTTTACCCATCTGCCCAGATCATAGAGATCCTGCTCTGTGCCTTCCTGCCACTACAAAAAGGTTTGGTGGCCTACCCAAGATCACCCAGTGAGAGAACCAGGCCTGGAAACCAGGTTCACAGAGTCTGAAATCCGTGCTTTTAACAAAGTATTCACTGTGTGACCTCAGGTCATCG